ACGGTGGCGCTCAGGTAACCGCTCGTTCACTATCACATCTTGTCTTTATACTGCTGTCTGCCTCTATTTTAGTAAGAATGCCTTAATTTTTTCATATTTCTCCCGTTCTGTAAAATCCTGGTGTGTTGTATTGGATGTCAGGTCGTGCGTGGCACGCGTAGACGAGCCGCCTAACTGTCGGTCAGTGCGCGCCCCCTCTGTCAGTTAATAGACTGGTACACGTGGGCTTGAGGTCCGTGCATATTCCTTACCATAACCACCGACACGCATGAATCTACCATAGTCATGGCACTGAATTCAGGAGCGTGAGGGGAGAATACCCAACGCAGGTCTATTATAAAGGAAATCACGTGCAAGTCACCGTCCCTCTTCCACAACTACTTGGGAGCAGACGGTGGATATCGTCGGCAGCGACGGCTGATACTGATGTCTGCTGTCTTTTCTACTTAGCAGCCTTTTATGCTTTCATATCACCCCTGTTTTGTGAAACCCTAGTTCACTGTCTTGGGTGTCAGGTTGTGTGTGGCGCGCGTAGACGAGTCGCCAAACTGGCAGTTAACACGCCCTCGCCATGTCAGTTGCTAGATTGATTCAGACTATTAACTGGTTAGAATGAGGTCGACAACACTCATATTCCTTACCATAAATCCTCTGACGCACTCGAATCTGTCATGGTGGGCTTAAAGCGTTGAGGCTTGCAAGACTGTCGACTGATGAGATAACTCGGTCCTTCTCTCAGGACGAAGGGTCAGGTTGCAATGGCTACTTTTTACTGCGGCCTCTTTGAAATCCCAACTTATTGTAGTCCGAGCCACCCCCTCTTCTTTTTTAAAATCCTGGTTGGTTGTTGACAGACCAGGGGTTGTGGTTGCAGGCCTAGGTGCGGCTTCACGCCATGAACGCCACCCGCACCCGAGCTGGCCTCTGGTATCGACAATGTAATGGCATGGGGTCCAAGCGCGTGAGGAGGAGATTGTGTGGTAGATGCAACGCAAGTCTACTAACTAATTCGCGTGCAGTTCACTATCTCTGCGTCCGCCACCCAGTGGACCATGCGGTGAACATCATCGGCAACGACAATCGAGTTTTTACGTAAATACTTCCATCCTCTCTCGTGCACACCTTCTTGCTCTGTAGTTTGCAGTCGGGGACATTTTTCGACTTCGTTTTCACTGGGCATCCACCGGACAGTTCGACTATCGCAAATGGCAGCGTCCAACGCAGTGGTACTCCCGTTCTGTGAAATCACGGTGCGTTTTGTTGGATGTCAGATTGTGTATGGCGCGCGTAGACGAGCTGCCTAACTGGTAATCAATGCTCCCTGCGTCAGTTGACAGACTGGCCCGGACTATTAAGTGGTACACAAAAGCGTGAGGTCGACAGTACTCAGTGCATATTCCTCACCATAAAAACCGATGCACCTGAATCTATCATAGTGCACTTAAAGCCTCAAAGTTTGCATTACTGCTGACTGACGAGATAACTCGGTCCTCCTCTCAGAACGAAGAGTCAGTTTGCAGTGATTCCTTAATGTGTCACTCGCACTCCCTGGAATCCGAG